CAACAATTCGATACTTGGCATCAAAAAGTATGCTCAAGGAGCACATTTTGCAATCATGGAGAACAATAAATCAGTATCAAAGTACTGAACACAAACTCCACCTATGGACCATAAATGATAGAAAGACTGATAACCTAGAAATTAGCGTTGTAGCATTTAGAAATCCTGAGCATCACAACATACAACAAATCTTACATGCCAGAGCGTGTTCAAATATCATGTAATTCAAACAACACAGGCACCGACTTCATGTAAACTTCCAGTGTGTTCTCCGTCTAGGTAGCATGTAATATGAACCAGAGGAAAATTAGATTTTACAGTTGTTTGTTTCCATTGAAGTACAAGTGAAGATCTGGAAGAATCTTACATAATGCAGAATTGCAGACTGAACAAGGGAAAAAATATCCCTGTCAAGGTGAAACTGGGTTTATGTTTACAATCCCCTATCCCCATCCCTCCTCCTATTAAAATTTGTTTCTATTCTTCACAATTATTGTCTCGCCATTCGATGATATGCTTGTTGTGCTTAGAATAAAAATATTTAAGATTTATTCACATGCAAACACATAAATCAATTGCCATCACTTTCCAAAAAAAGGAATTAACAACTGAAGAAGATCAATAAGAAATGCTAGCAAATCACTCAGAGAGAAACTCCAGAAGATTAGCCCTACTGTCTAAGTCATACAAAGAAAGGTACACGGGAACTTGACAGGCGTGAAATTCTGAAACTCGGTTAATCAAATTGACTTGTGCCGGAACTTGTAAATTCATGGAGAAGTTTGTTAAATCCTCTCGAACTTCATCATGATGAAGCTCCTTAAATTAACTTATTCTAGAAATCAACACTCAACAGCTATCCCTACTGAAGGACATATCAAGTCACTCATCAGAATGATGGTATTGATCCTCTCGATCCACATTCTAGCGACAACATTGTTAACAACCATCTCAAGGGGAAGTTAACAGGACTTACTTAGTGGCACTATATTTAGGATTATTAACAGTGAGTTAACGCAGAATCTTTATACATCCCTATCAAGATACAATAGCAACAGTTTAAACAGTATTTCCGTCATATCTCGCTTCCAAGAAGACGACAAAAGACCAGCTTTTTATTATAATATCAAGCACAGCTAATTATTGTTTTTGAAGAAAAGTGCTCACCAGGAGACCCAAGATTTGTGACCCTAATCAAGGAAATCCCTGTTTTTGTGAACAATCAGAACAGTTAAATGTCATATGAATGTATTTTTTTCTTGTTACATGGAGTTGAACAGAAAGAGAATAGGATACAATCACATAAAGGAAAAAAGTTTTATGTAGCACACAGAGCTGGAAAAGTATAAGAAACACATACAGCATACACATTAATTATAAGTATTTGATAATTGATAGTGTAAACTAGCCAGTAACATGGGAAGTGAGAACGTAGAGTCTTGCACAGTGACATAGATAGTGGGTACCTGAGAGTTTCCATAATTAATGACTCTCATCCAATATTCTAGCAGTCAATTCATCAATAGCTTCCGGTTTCCGAAATTCAGCAGCTTCATTTCCTCGTGGTTCCTCTAATGTCCCAAAGCCATATCTTTCCCTTGACGGATATTGCCAAGTTAATTGCACGTCGAGGCATCGCGGTCTCCATCATAACAACACCCCTCAATGCTGCCAGGTACAAACCCATAATTGATAATGCCATAGAGGAAAACCTCAAGATTCAAATGATTTCCCTGAAATTCCCAGGTCAAGAAGCTGGACTGCCTGAGGGATGTGAAAACATGGATACGATCACTTCTCATTTTTACTTCAAGCTACATCTAATTAGATCGAGGGAAATCTCTATACGAACCAGTCTTTCAAACTTAGCAAATTGAAAATTGAACATTCTGAAAGTTTGTGTAATCATTCACTAGCTTAAATGTATACTACATGTCTAGTTTGGAGAGAGAGAAAAAAAAGGTTCAATCCAATTACTACTAAGTGTTAATATCGTAGTAAATTTAAAGTTTACTGTGAGAATAATTTTTCGTTGCTCCATTTGGTGTTATTATCTTGATTAATAATTCGAAATTAACAACTATATAACTACTAGAAAAGTTCATATTAATTTTAGTATATTTCAACCTTTTTTTAACATGTTTATTGAGTTCACGTCATTCTTATAATAAATCAGAAAATGACATCTGAAAAAAAGAATAAGGGGTTTTTATATTTTAAAAAAAGATTCTACTCAGAAACTTTAGTAGATCGACTTGAGAACATACATTCGATCATATTCAACAGAAGTAATGCACCAAAAAGGGCATATAGAACTCTTGACATAAATAGTAAATACAAAATAAAAAGGGTGAAAAAATGAGATAGAAACTGAATAGAAGAATTAAACCATCTTATCACAAGCAGTTTCCAAGAGAATTCTAAAGATTATCAACTTGCATAAATCATAGGACTGCAAAAAGAATAAATAAATAACAAAAATTATTTGACTAATTAATCACTTAAGCTGGCAAGAGATCACGGTTGGTGAATGATGATCGCAGAAAGATAAGTCCCTTCGACGAAAACGGGGGACGCTGACAAATGCTTCCGCGAAGCAATTCTCCGAAAGTCTTGGAACGGCGTGGCAACAATTTGCATGTAATGTAAATTTTTTTGTAAAGAAAGAAGATATGAGGTCTCCTATGCAACCATCCACATTTATCAAAGTTGACATGCAATCACTTGGATCTGCTGTTGGTGTATTTCGTGGGATGCAATGGACTGCTGGTGGAGGTGGCGAAGGTGGCGGAGTTACTGGTGGAGGTGGAATTGGCGCAGTTACTGGAGGAGTTACTGGCGGAGGTGGATGTGGAGTTGGCGGAGTTACTTCTGGGTGGCGATGGTTGTGATGGCCACGGATGTAATGGTGATGGTGGTGGTTGTGACGATGGTTGGCTAACATGCCATTGAAAGTTGAAACATACGAACAGGCTAATAAGAAACAACAAAACCAAGAATCTGTTTTCCTTCACTATCAAACTTGTTTTTAAGAATTGATCATGTATTTATATATAATCAGGTCAATACCTGAATAGAATTTGAGATGGAAATGAATTCTTGACTGAATATGTTACATATTGTAATATTTGTAGACTTCTTGCTAATATGCAAATCTTAGTGACTAGTTTCCTTTTGTTACTTGGAGATGCAAACCCGGGGAACTGACCAACGGGTCTGGGTGAGATGATTGGACCGTAATGCAATTGTTATTGAATTTTTCATGTTTCTTTTTTTAATATATTGTATTTAAAGATTGGTGGATTATTAATCATGATCCTTGGATGAAGCACTCTTTTAAATAATGCCTTCCTCGATCATCATTAAGAGAATCTTGTGCACCATGAAATGCAATTTGATCGCCGGAAATTCTCAGTGCCACCGCCTGTGCACCAACTTTTCCAGGGTCTGGCGGAGGAGCTGTGTTCTTCCAAGAAATGCATTATAATATAATTTTGGTGAAACAACTACGTCAATAAATGGAACTGTTGAAGCAACTAATAAACAATTTTGTTTCGCGATGATTTGTCTAGAGATACATCGTCGTTTTCGAATTCTTCTCCATATTTTTTCCATCCCTATATTTGATAAAAATGTATGAATCCATATATGGTCTTTCTTTACAACTAATTAACATAAATTAAAAAATACTTTCAACATTGAAAAAACAATTTAAAACATGAAACACTACAACCCAAGAAATTAGTTTGCATCAAAAAGAACCCCTAATGTCCTGATACATACATATGCAGCAATTTCTTAGGGTTCAGAACCTCTATGAGTGATTTGCAACGAGCCTAAGGTTTAAGATCCAGTCAGATGTATACACACGCAAAACTAGACATAATTAATAGGCAATCAAGAAGGCTCGTGTCGTGGCCTAGATTGACGACATTCAATGCACATAAAAGAGATGTAATGCCTAAGCTCGACCCAAGAAGTCTACTAGTCAAGCCTACATCGTGTGTTCAATAGGTCGAGGATTAATTACTGTCTAGTGATATCTACAGCAGCTTCAACAGATTGCACTGTAGTACTTTTTTGAGTTTTTGTACCTAAAAAGATCTGGGAACAAAAACAAATTTCACTTCCCGTATGCCGTATCATATACATATTGAATGGTCAAGGTACCACGACAAAGGGGTCACAACAACTTCAACATATACAATGTCACAACCATCACACGTTCTAAAAGAACTATATTGCTATAGCAAGCTCCTAATTAAAATAGATAGGGAAAAGATCCATATCTTATGCAGCTTCAGCAGTTACAGGACGAGAAACAGGAGGTTACAAAACAGTCTTGACTGATATATAAGAAGGCATCTAGCAAATGACTTATTTACATGCAACCGAATTCTGAGGGGGGAATAGGGCGGAGAATCAAAATCTAGGCAGCATTTAAGCCAATAACATACAACCGACAACTTATTTACACAGTCCAATCATTTAGCATTGTCAAAAGTCTTAAAAGTACTTTCCTATTCCTTTTAGCTGTTCTATATCTAACTTGCAACATAATCCAGCTTTCAGAATTAGTTGAAGATTTAAATTTTAAGAAATTAGAATCTTGCATAATGTCATGAAGCCGGTATGCCAATCAATGCAAGGGAACATCAGGTTCTGCTTCCTCTTTGAGTAATAATTCGACATTTTGGAACCCCTTTACCTAACATAGA